AGAGGTCGTACAGCCATTCGACGGCGGTGCCATCTGCGGCGTTCCTTGCCCGCGCCGAGCCCTGCCCGGCCGGCGAGCGGATGGGCGAGCGGGCGAGCGGGCGCGGCGTCCTGCTGCTCGTTTCATGTCCATCGTGCTCATATCCCTGTCACCTTCTCCTTCTTTCCCCTGTACCACCATCGATCCCACTCCTCTCGACAACCCGTCCCGCCGTCACCCCAATCACACCAACTGCTGTTTCGGACCGCCCTTTGCCCACTCTGGCCCCGCCGTCTGCCTCACTCCACCCGTCGAGCAGGGACATTGCTCTGCCGCACAAGTCGGCGGGCCGACGCCCAGCTGTCCGGCTCGGGGGATCTCATCACCCTTTTCACCTGCCACGATCGCCTAGACGTTTCCAGCTCGCCATCGCAGCCATGACCTCGTCCTACTCTAGAAAGCCGCTCTCGCCGTCGGCCCTCGCCACCGACGCCCGCAACTGGTCCCACCCTTCCTCTCCCCCCTCGGCGGCCATTCACGCCAACGGCGCCCGCTATTCGCCCGGTGGACGGTCACGCGTGCCTTCTCACAGCCAGCGCCTCGGCACTGCCGACTCGTCGGTATCCCAGGCCACCTTCACCCAGCAGCAGAGGAATGCGCAGCACCAGCAGATGTACGCCAACGGCATGAGCGGCGACAGGCATGGCTACCCTACCTCGAATGGCGGCGGCCCCTCTTCGCCACACAGCTCGGACCGCGGCCTGCAGACCCCCTCGCTCGAGGGGCGCACCCGGCTCGCTTCCAATGGCGCGGCAATGGGCCCGCCACCGCACATGCGCCCTGCCCCGCTGCAGAGCCACGTCTACGGCCTCAACCTCGACCTGCGCACTCCGGCCCCCCCGCTGCCCCAGGCTCCCGGCGAGGCGACATCTTCGTCGAAAAAGAACCGGCCGGCGCCGCACGAGCAGAATGCCAAGTTCAGCGTCGAGCTGTTTGCCTCGCAGTTTGACCAGCGCGGCTACCCGATCCTGTCTGGGCGGGCCGCCTCGGTCAAGGGCGTCCTGCGCATGCCCGCCGCGACAGGCTGCGATGTCATGATGAAGGTGAGTCGTCGTCGAGAGACGGCAGGGCGGGATTGGCGACGCCCTGGATCGCGTGGTAGCAGCGACGTTGCTGACATTCTGCGTCGGCTTCTCCCCCTGACATCTCACCTGCTCCTCCGCGCGCCTGCTTGCACCGCGGGTGGTGCTCGCCTTCGCTCGCGCAGATCTCTGCCCACACCGCTGCAGGTGCGCCGGCTGCAGTGTGGGACGGCATCGCCTTGGCTCCCTTTGACCTGGGCGAGGAGCGCAAGGTCTTCGAGGTCCGCGACCGTTTGAAGGCCAACTTTGACCTGGCACGGCCCCGCGACGCCTTCGCCCCGCGCAACGAGGCGATGATGGAGCCGCCGTCACTCACCCAGGACGACTTTGTGCTGCCGATCCCGTTCGACGTCAAGCTGCCGCTCGGCAAGGCGACGCGCGTCGTCGACGGCGAGCTGCAGTCGGTCGCCGTGCCGCTGCCGCCGAGCTTCGAGATCAGCTCCAAGCTCGCCGCCCAAGAGAGGCGCGAGATGCGCATGAGCACCAAGGGCAAGACGCGCGGGCTGGCGGCCAAGGAGCTCGTCGAAAAGGGGTTCGAAAAGGTCTACCAGATCGGATGCTACTACCAGATCACCTGGACGCTCGTCCGGGACGGCGGTGCGGGCGGAGGCCGAGGCGCCAGCGGCAAAAAGGGCGACAAGGCGAGCAAGGGCCAGAAGGAGGCGCCGGCCGCCGAGGGCGACACGCTCACGGTGCCGTTCATCTTTACGGGCGAGCCGACCACGCTGCCGCCCTACCCGCCCACGATACCTTCGTCGCTCAGCCCCAAGATCTTCACCACGCCAGGCACCGAGCTCGGCGACCAGTGGGATGTCCACCGTTCGACGGCGCGGTGGTCCGGCTCGCTGCTCAAGACGATGCGCCGCGCCGTCGATCTCGAGCTGCACATCCCATCGCCCTCGATCGTTCAGGCGCCCTCGCACCTGCCCATGCTGATCATCATCCGTCCGCAGGACCCCACCCTCCTGCTGAGCGTCCGCAACGGCCCCCAGAGCGGGCCCAACACGGCGCCGGGCTCGCCCGAGACGGGCTTCCGCGAGGACCCCATCGACCAGCTCGTCGCCAACGGCGGCAGCGACCGCGACCGCGAGCGCGACCGGGACGCCGAGTCGATCCGGACCACGCGCAGCATCATGTCGCGCCTGATCCGGCCATCGATGAGCCTGGCGCGCCTGTCGGGCGGCAGCGGAGGCGGAGGCGGCGGAGGCGGATCGTCGTCCGGGTCGGGCCGGAAGCCGGGCAGTTCCGGATCCAGCATCTTTTCCAGCCGCCGCCCCAACACGGCGCCCAGCACCGGCAGCTCCGAGGCGGGCGTGTCGGACTCGATGACGAACCGCACCTTCAACCCCAACGGCGCCGTCCCGGACCTGGCCGGGCTGGTGTGCGTGTCGCTGGTGCAGACTACGTACTGCAGCACCGAGGGCGTCAACGACACGCCCGAGAGCCGGCGCAAGATTGTCTCGGTGGCCGACCTCGAGGAAGTCGACGTCCAGGCGCTGCTGCTCAGCTCGCTGCCTGGCGCCGATGAGCCTGGCTTCGGCCGCTCCGCCGAGGACATTGCCGCCATCAACGAGGTCAGCGCGAGTGCAAAGGCCGCGGGGGTGCGCGTGCTGGTCGGCTCGCTGACCGTCAACCAAACCACACCGCCCAGCTTCCGCTGCCAGGGTCTCGAGGTCAAGGTGAGTGGCAACTGCGCTGGACGCACGGCTCGGTGCGGCGAAGCGATTGATCGACGGCGGCTGACACTGCCTCCCATTGTCCATGTTTCGTCCCGCACTTTTTCCTCTGACCCCCCTCTTCACCCTCGCAGTACGCTGTCAAGGTGGACCTGATGCCCGCCAACCGGATCGGCGGCGACGGCGTCGAAAAGGCGTTCCGCAACCTCGGCATCCGCAGCGGACGCAGTCGGGGCCTGTCCGAGGGCTACAGCACCACTTCGTCGGTCCACACCCAGACGCAGTTTACGCAGCTCTCGAACGGCAGCACGCCGCCCACGACGCCGCCCTCGGCCGGCGGCACGACGCGACCATTTGGAGCCGCGCGGTCGCCCGGTCCAGAGAATGGCCAGGGCGAGCATCGGCCGTACCCAAGCATCATGGAGAGCGCGGCGGCCTCGTACGACGCCATGGGCTCGCCGCCGCACCCCAACGAGGTGGGCGTGGCCTACTCGACCAACGACCAGTCTGCGGTGGCGGCCGAGGCGCAGGAGCCGCAGGAGATCTTGTCGCCCGATGTCGACTCGGTGGCGCGCTTCCCCGGCGGTCCGATGTACCACCAGCAGCGGGCGATGCCGAGCTACCCGCACAACCTGAGCAGCGGCTCGGTGAGCGGGTCGAGCCGCACGGGCTGGGGCAGCGGGCAGTCGGTGTCCGAGGCCGGGTACACGCAGAGCAGCTCGTTTATGTCCGAGTGGGGCAAGGACCGCAAGACGGTGTCGAAGCTGCACAAGACCATCGGCGAGATGTGGATCGATGTCCGCGTGGTGCGCGCCCAGACCTTCTGAGGGGGACTGGTCGCCTGTCCTTGCGAGACTGCTCGCTGCTGGGCGGCGCCTCGCTCTGCCCGTTGCTAGCATGCACTCTGGCATCCGGCCGACGCCTGGCGCCTTGCGGGCGGGCTCACGTGAAGGTCGATGGGTTTCGCCTCTGTTCGCCTGGTCGCCTGGCCTCGATATGCCCGTCGAGCCCGCCCCGGCGGGATCCAAGGTCGCCCCAGCTCGCTTCAACTCGTCGCGCCTCGCACCGGCTCGCCTTGGCCTGACTCGACCCGCCGCACTCTGCCCCGATCCACCCCTGTGCTTGGCCCTTCGCTGGGCCGCCTCCCCGTCTCGTCGTCACGGTTCTGTCGCACGCAAGATACCACGCCTTGCTGGCGCATCCTCTGTCGTTGTTGGCTGCTTGCTTTATTCTCTCGATCCTGGCCCGCCTCGGGTCTGTTGTATTCTCGTCTACAGGAGCGGCTGGACGGGCGGGCGTGCGGGCGGGCGGGCAGGCAGGATTGGACGGCTGCCTCTTTTCTCGCTCGCCCCTTTGCCCTTTTCGCCTTGCGTCCAGCCCCTTGCCATTGCCCCGTCTAATACTCGATTCATTTGCCGCCTTGTTGTTGAGCAGCCAGCGGGGGACGGCGAGGCGAGCTCGTCGAGGTGGCAGGGTCGTGTTGCCTAGGGATGGGCCTGAGGCACGGCCGTGCGAGGGTCGAGGGCCTGGTCGACTCGGGATCGGCTCGGCGTGGTCCGACGGGGTTCGAGGGCGGGCGGGGCGGGGAGTGGTGGTCCGAGCGCTGGACCCTTTGGCTTCTGCCTCGCCTCGACTCGCGGCGCTGGCTGGCTGGCCTCTGTGGCTGGCCCAGCTGTGGCTGAGTTCTGTGGCTGAACCTCGTTCCCGTCTGGTCGTCCCTCCTCCGCCTCTCTCCTCCTTTGCGGCCTTCCACCATCCCAGCCGCGGTCTCGACGTTACGCAGAACAACATCGTAAGCCTATCGACTAGCTGCAAACAAGGACCGAGCAGCAACGACCCATCCCCGGCCTTCCTCTTGCCCCATTCCTCCCTCGGCAGCTCGGCTCAGCATGTCCGATGCCACCACCAGCGTCGACGGCCCCACCCTCCTCTCGCTACCGGATACGGTGCTCATCGACACGCTATCGCCTCACCTCACATCGCGCGACCTCGTCTCCCTCCGACGCACCTCGAAGCGGGCACGCGCCGTCTTCGACGACGAGGTGCTGTGGAAGCGCCGCACCCTCGCCGACTTTAGCTTCCCGCCACACGCCTCGGCTCGCGTCGGGGGATGGCGGAAGCTCTACCGCGGTCTAGAGAGGCCGCAGGTGTGGGTCTGGGGCCAGTCGGATCGTGGACGCCTCGGATTGGGCGCGGCGCAGAGCGAGGATCAGACCCTCCGACGGCTGACGTCCGGAGGCAGCGGCGGCATCCCCTTTCCCGTCAAGAACGACGTCGTTGCTGCTGCCCTCGCCTCAAAGACCAGCGACGAGAATCCAACCAAGACAAAGGCCGTAGTACCGTCGCGCGGCGATCTGGGATCCGTCGTCGAGCTCGTAGCCGGCGGCTGGTCGTTCCACGCCCGCACCTCGACGGGCAAAGTCATCTTCTGGGGCACCATGGACGGCGAGGGCTATGCAGGTCCCCACGCCTCCCTCCGCGAACCCAGTCGCGAGATCGACACGCCTACCCTCCTCGACCTCCCCGCCGATGTCGTCGTCAAGCAGCTCTCGTGCGGTCGCAGCCACGCCGTCGCCCTCACCGACAAGGGCGATGTGCTCGAGTGGAGAGCGTGGGGCACCGTGTGGAAGCACGACGGCCTCCTCCCCCTCGCAACCGCCACGTCTTCGGCGCGCGTGGCGCAGCTCGAGGCTGGCTGGGACTTTACTGTCGTCCTCGTCGAGACATCTTCGTCGGACGATGCTCGCGACGGCAGCCACGGCGCCGCTCGCACCGACATCTACCTCTGGCACTCGGACCTCAGCGACGACCGATACCGTCAGACCTACTTTGCAGAGCTCGAAGAGTCGCCCTTCTCCCGCGCCTGGCCGGAGCGACCCAACAGCGACGACAGTCCGGCCCGCATCCAGAGCCCGGCCCTGAAGCTGCCCGCTCTGCCATGGCCTGGGGATCAGACAGCCGAAGGACTCACGCAAAGCACCTCGCCCCACCGGACGGTCCGCATCGCTGCAGGCGAAAACTTTGTTCTCGCCCTAACCGAGTCCGGTCTGGTGTACAAGCTCGACGTGCCGCCGCGCCATCCGAGTGGCACCGACCGACGACGGCCCGACGGAAGCCTGCGCAGCCATGCCGAGGCGCAGCGCCTCGCACTGGCCCGCCACCTTAGCGGCGACGCTGACGCCGGCGACGAGGGCCAGCGGTGCTGGAAGCTGCTTCCGCACTTTTGCGTTCCAGACCGACTGCGAGCGCTGTCCGGGCTGCAGGGCGTCGTCGAGGGCAAGAGCGATGCGCAGCTACGCATCTCGCACATCTCGGCCCACTTTCGCACATTTGTCGTCTATACCTCGGACGATCCGGCCGAGCACCAGCTGCATCCGCAGAGCGAGGCGGCCCGAGGATCAGGACGTCAGCGACGGCGGGGCGGGATCGTCCTGCTCGGTGGGAGAGAGGCGGACGCCGATACTGTGCCGGACGTGGTGCCGCAGCTGCAGGATGCCGGCGTCATCAAGGTGGTGCTGGGCGACTACCACTTCGGCGCCTTGACCGAGGACGGCGAGGTGTGGACGTGGGGTTCGTGGTCCAAGGGTGCGCTCGGAGTCTGGCACGACCTGCCGCCAGCCGCCGAGTCAGCGAGTGGGCGGGGGGAAGATGAGGGGTACGACGATACGGCCAACCTGGTCCCGCTGCCCAGGGTGCTGCCCCACTTTCGCGTCGGCGGGCCTGCGGCGGCGGCGAGGATTGTGCCGAGGCTCGGGAGCAGGGCGGCGGCGAGGATGGCTCAGTCGAGCGCGGGTGCGGGTGCGGGCGGCGAGGAGAAGCGCGTGCCGGAGCGCGTGGATCAGCCTACACCGGTGCGCTTCAGACTGCTGCAGGGCGAGGGCAGGACCGTGGGCGAAGACAACGAGCAACGTCGTACCACCAGCTTTGCCTTTGACGTGGCGTTTGCCGGTGAGCAGCTTGCTGTCGTCGTCGTCGTGGTTGTAGTTGTCGTCATCCGTGCTGACTGCAAGCTCTCCTCTCTCTCCACTCTGACCGCGTTGGCAGGCTGGCATTCGAGCGCCCTTGTGATGGACGTCGATGCAGAGGTCGACAGCGGCGACGCCCGATGAGCCGGCGGCGTGGCCTGGCAGGCGATACCCAGCTCAGCCCTTGATCGGGCACTTTGCTGCCACCCGATCCGAATAGTGCAGTTGGCCCGCGGCAAGGGCTGCGACGATGATCGAAATCGACGGGCGCGGCTCAACTCGTGCCGTCTCATACCTTCGGTCTTTTTTGTTTCTTGGCTGGCCCGCTGGGCGCCAGCGGCCACCTGTGCGGCCACCTCTCTCCTCTCCCTCCTCTCCACCCCCACGGCCTTCCTGTTATATACCCCCCTTCGCCCTCCGCATCACCTCACTGCCTTGGCCATCCCAACTTTCCCCCCAAGGCATGTTTCGAGCCGGTCTCCCCTCTCCGCACATCCTGCAAGCCGCCTCCATCGCCCATCTACCTCGTTCCGCCTATTCCCTCTTCCCGAGCCAGATCGCGCAGCCTCGACGGGTGAGTACCATCCTCGTCCTCGTCCAACCTTTTCTCTTGCTCTCCTCACGACAGAGGGCAAGGCAAGGCAAAGCAGAGCAGGGCAGGGCAGAGCGGCCCCCCAAAGGCGGGCCTACGGTGATGAGCAACCATCAAATCATGTGAACAATCCAATGCTTAGCGGGTCCCAATCAGTCCTGGCTGCGGAGACAAAGATTAACCAGACTCTGAGGTAGCGTCCGCTCGATGCCCGGCGCACGAGCATGGGACCGACGTCCGCTCTGCCTGCCTCGCCCTGGCCTGGCCTTTGCCCCTTGCCCTTGATGGGAAGGATCTCGGTTGCGACGCCGACGGTCGCGGCGGCCATGATCAAGCCGAGCTGACACCTCAGTTTGCGCCCTCGCCCTTGACACGCTCGCAGAACTTTATCCCATCCCGCCGCGCCCTTTCCACCGCCCCCTCTCATACTCACCTGGATCCAGCCGCCATCGCATCGCGCCTGAGCAGCATGGCTTCAACCTCATCCAGCCCGGCCCCGCAGCCGACGCTCTTCATCGACGGCAAGTGGGTGCACTCGAGCACGGGCCACACGCGCGACATCATCAATCCCTACGACGCCTCGGTCATCACGACCATCGACGAGGCGGGCGCCGACGACGCCCTCGCCGCCGTCACGTCGGCGCGGCGCTTCTTTGACACCTCGGACTGGGCACGTCGCACGTGCGCCTCGCGCAGCCCCATCATCTCGCGCGTCGCCGACCTGCTGCAGCGCGACAAGGAGCTCATTGCCGAGATCGAGACGCGCGACACGGGCAAGACGCTCGAAGAGAGCCGCATCGACGTCGACGACGTCACGGCCGTCTTCCGCTTCTACGCCGAGGAGGCCAAGAAGCTCGACGTGCCCAAGAAGATCGAGGGCGAGGGCTTGATCCCCAAGTCGGTCCGTAGCCGCACCGTCCACACGCCCGTCGGCGTGTGCGTCCTGATCGCGCCGTGGAACTACCCGCTCCTCCAGATCTGCTGGAAGGTGGCCCCCGCGCTCGCCACGGGCAACGCCGTCATCATCAAGCCGTCCGAGGTGACGCCCCTCTCGACGGTCCACTTTGTCCGGCTGCTCGCCGAGGCGGGCGCGCCCACGGGATCCGTCCAGCTGCTGACGGCCGGAGGCGCCTCGGTAGGCCCCACGCTCACCGAGCACCGCGACGTCGACCTCGTCTCGTTCACCGGCGGCCTCGACACGGGGCGCCGGATCATCCAGAGCTGCGCGGGCACCGTCAAGCGGTGCACCGTCGAGCTGGGAGGCAAGAACCCCAACGTCGTCTTCGCCGACTGCGACCTCGACTGGGCGGTGGACCAGGTGGCCACCGCCGTCTTCCTGCACTCGGGCCAGGTGTGCAGCTCGGGCGCGCGCCTGATTGTCGAGGAGTCGATCGCCGACCGGCTCGTGGCGGGCGTTGTGGAAAAGGCCAAGCGGATCCGCATGGGCAACGGCCTCGACCCTCGCTCCGAGACGGGCCCGCTCGTCTCTGCGGCGCACCTGGCAAAGGTTGAGGCGTACGTCGAGCTGGGCAAGCGCGAAGGCGCCAAGCTCCTGGTCGGCGGTGCGCGTCCGGATCCCAAGGTGCACCCGGAGCTGTCCAAGGGCTTCTTTTTCTGCCCGACAGTGTTTGACGGATGCGACCGGAGCATGCGGATCGTGCAGGAGGAGACGTTCGGGCCCATCCTGACCGTCGAGCGTTTCCCGGACGGCGACGAGGAGCGCGCCGTGATGCTGGCCAACGACACAAAGTACGGCCTGGCGGGCGGCGTGCAGAGCGGCGACCGCGCCAAGGCCGAGCGCGTCGCCTCGCGCCTCCGCCACGGAACCGTCTGGGTCAACACGTACGGCAGCTACTCGCCGCTGGCCGAGTGGGGCGGTTACGGCCTCAGCGGCAACGGGCGCGAGCTCGGGTCAAAGGGCCTCGACGAGTACGTCGAGACGCGCCACGAGTGGGTCGAGACGGAGCCCACTAAGCCCGGCTGGTTCAAGGGCGAGGGCGCCGTGCTGCGACCCAAGCTCTAGTCGGCGGTCCTCCTGGGTCCCCTAGGTTCCCTGGGTCCCCTTTGCCAGCGCTTGCCTCTGTCGTCGTTTTGCTCCGTCCGTGCCGTCCCGTCCCGCCTCTCCCCCCCGCATTCTGCCAAGTGCTTCGCTGCTCCGCTCCCCACCTGCTTCGCTGCTCCCGCTTTTGCCGGCCTCCCGTAGCGCTCACTTCTGTACGCATACCCTACCTGTAGTCTTGTCTCTTGTGCGCCTGTAATCTAGCTTGGATCGTCCAGCAGTCCGGTCGTGTCGGGCCGGGTCGGGTCGGGTCGAGGGCGTAAGGAGGGGGTGTGGGTGGTGTGGCAGGACGAGGCGGGTGGGGAGGCACCGCACCGACCGGAGGCAGAGCACGGGCCTTGGGGCCTGCGTCGATCTGCCGCTGTGCCTGCACGCCTGCCTCTGTGGCAGGCTGCCTGCTGGCCTGCCGGCGAGCCCCTCGAAGACGCGCTGTGGGCCCGTCGCACTTTTCCCTCTTTCGAAATTCCGGACCTCCATCGCGCCTCCGACCACCACCACCATCACCAGCCTCCAGTCTGGGTTCTCGCTAGACCTCTTTCGCTCGGTCAACGACTCTGACCGCTTTGCGCCCGTCAACCTTCGACTCCTCGCCCTTTGACCTCGACACACTCGCCCACAATGGCCGGCGACTTGCTCGACGACGAGCTCCTCGCCCTCGCTGGCGGCTCTGACGTCGACAGCCGCCCGCGCAAGTCTGGCCTCGCCTCGTCGGCCTCGTCTTCGCCGCCGCCCCATCACGCCGCCTCGAACGCGGCCGAAGGCAACGGCACCTCGACCGCCACCGCTGCAGGCGGTGATGCCGACGCCGATGCCGACAGCGCCACGCCCGGTGCCGCCGCTGCCGCTGCCCGGAAGCGCTCCTCGGCAGCCTCGGCGTCCATCTCCAAGCGACGCCGCATCGACCTTCTCGACGAGAGCGACTCGGACATGGACGCTTCCGGCTCCGAAGACGACGACGCACCGCCGCCTGCAGCCTCGGCAGCGGCGAGCAGAAAGTCCAAGGCCAAGACGACGTCCCTCCGCCGCGGCGGGAGGCGCAACGACGACGACGACGACGACGACGATGCAGACGACGATGGCGGCGAGAACGCCAACCCGTTCCCCTACCTGGGCCTCTACAAGGACTCGCGCGACTACGAGGAGCTCATGGCCATGAACGAGCTGGCCAGGGAAGAGGTCCTCTCGGAGCGAAAGTCGCAGATCGACAAGCGCAAGCGCAACCTCCAGCTCCGCGACATTCTCCGCCAGCAGCGCGCCGCCGCCGACGCCACCCGCAAAAAGGGGACGGCGCCGGCGCGGAAGAGGAAGAACAGCAGCGACCTCGACGTCAGCGAGTCGGACGACGACGCCCAGGGCGAGAGCGACCGCGACGGCGAGGGCTCCGACTACGAAGCTGCCGGTAGCCGCAGCCTGTCGATCGGCGGTGCCGCGTCAGCCGCCAAGAGCCGCAAAAAGAAGGCCGTCGGCGCCACCGAGACCAAGACGGCCAAGCTGAGCGAGCTGCGCAAGCGGCGCAAGGAAAAGGCCAGCGGCGCCGCCGTCCGCAAGCACGACAGCGACGACGACGCGGCCGGAGGACGTCGCGGCAAGGGCGGCCGCAGCTACCAGAGCAGCAGCGACGGCGGCAGCGAGAGCGAGAGCGCCGACGACTACGACGACGACGACGCCTACGGAGCCTCGTCGCGCAGGAAGGGTGCCGCCACCAAGGGTGGCCGCACGTTGGGCGGCGCGAGGGACCGCCACCGCGACGACGAGCGCGACGGCGGTGCGTCGTCGCGCGAGCCGCCGAGCCTGGCCGACCTCAACAGCTGCCGCATCAGCCGCGACCTCATCGAGCAGAAGCTGTACGCTCCGAGGTGGCGCGAGACGTTCAAAGGAGCGTTTATCCGTTTCTCTTGGGGCCAGAGGGATCGAGAGGACGGAATGGGCAAGGAGGAGATCTACCGTGTCCATCAGGTGCTCGGTGAGTGTCGACAGCGGCTTCCTCGGATCGCAGATTCTGCGCGCGAGGCGATGATGACCTTCGAAGCTGCGGAGCTGATCTGACCTCTGGGTGACCTTGCTTCCTTCATCCGTGCAGACGTCATCGAGAAGCCGAGGCGGTTCTATGACCTGTCGATGACGGCGTCGGGCCGGTGGTGCAACGTTTACCTGGTGTTTGAGCACCTTGGCAAGGAGTACGAGGCGTCGCTGGTGTCGCTGTCGCGCTCGCCGTTTACCGAGTCGGAGCGGGAGCGGTGGATCCGCGCCGTGTCGTCGCAGCCCAAGGCCAAGCTGCCGCGCAAGCGCGAGCTCGAGGACAAGGCCGAGGAGCTCGACGACTTTTTCAACCGGACGCTGACCGAGGCCGACATTGGGCGCATCCTGGACATCAAGAAAAAGGTGCGGGCGCAGGCCAAAGAGGTCGGGTTCGTCGACGGCCAGTCGTCGAGGAACGGCAGCGGTGGCAGCGGCGGTGGTGCAGGTGGGCCCAACAGCGGCGGCAACGGCAGGAGTGGGCGGGGCGAGGGCAAGTACGACGAGCACGTCATGGCGGCCATGAACGACCGCAACCGCAAGGCGGACCGCGAGAGGATCGTCGAAGCCGAGCGCAAGGCGGCGCGCGCGAAGCGCGATGCGCTCAAGCTCTCTGCCAGCATGGCGGGAGATGCGACGCCGACGGGCGCTCCGGGGACGGGTACGTCTACGCCCATCCCTGCCGCAGCGCTGCCCAGCTTGACGGGCGTTCAGGCTCAGTCGGCGGCGGCAACGCCCACCGACGGCGGCGGTACGCCCACGGCCGGAGGCGTTGCGACGACGACGACGCCCGTCTCGACTGCGGGCAACGGCGCAGCCAAGGTGGCGCTCAAGATTGAGGTGGATCTGGGCGACTTTTGAGCGGACGCTACCTGCGTTTCCCGCTCGCCGGGCCATGTTCCCTTGTGTTTGCGGCCCCCCCACCCACCTGTAGAATCGTTGCGCTCGTCCTTGATTGATTGCTTCGTTGGCCGCCGAAGCTCTCGTCGGGGGTCGTTGGCCTCTCAAGGCCGTTGTGGCTTGGTGTTGGCAACGCCTCGTCGTTGGGCCGCCGCATGTTGGTAGGGCCATCGGGTCGTGGTCCTGTCGGGAACCTGGCAGCCATCGGGCTTCGATCAGGCGGGCTCGCGTGATGGAAGCGGAGCGAAGGACGACCCCCTCGGGCTCAGAGCCCGACGCCCGGCCCCCGTTTTCAGAAAAAAAATGTTTCGGAAGCGAGATGGTATTGCCGGCGTGTCGTCTGGCCACACAGCCTGCCCAGGCCTAGCCAAGCCGCTGGCCCCCCCACTCGGCGACTTGTGAGAGAGGCGGCTCGTTCCTTCTGACCCACACCTTGCCACCTCCGCACCTCCTAACCGCGGACCGATCCTTTGTCTCCATCTACGGCCCCCCTCCTTGCCTGCGGCTGGAACGCACCTTACGACTACTGGCGTCGCCGAACAGGCCACCAGCGCAAACGACATCTTCCGCAGCCGTCCGTCCCTGGCGTGCACTCTCTCGCCCGACCAGCGACCAGCGCACCTTCGAATTCAGGCCGCCCGCACTTCTGGTCACTGGTCAGCAGACTTGCTTCGGCCTGCTCTTGTCCTTCTTGACCAAGCAAACGGCTGCGATTCTCGATCGCCGTCCCCTTCCCCCAGCACACGCCCGCACTCTCGAACACCATGTCGGCTGACGACGACGTCGTCATGGCCGACGCCGCCCCTGCCGCCTCGACCTCGCACGCCGAAGCCAACGGCAACGGCACAGCTGCCAACGGCCACAGCGCAGCGCCCGGCAAGCCGACGGGCTCGACACCAGAGCAAAAGGCCGAGGCGGCCGAGGCAAAGGAGCGCGGCAATGTCCTCTTCAAGTCAGCCGCCTACGGCAAGGCCATTGACGAGTACTCGCGCGCCATCGACCTCGACCCCACCGAGCCGGCCTACCTCACCAATCGCGCCGCCGCATACATGTCGCTCAAGATGTACCGGCCCGCCCTATCCGACTGCCGCCTCGCAAACGACCTGCAGTGCAAGCAGAGCCCCGACGGAACCGCGCAGCCAAAGACGCTCGTCCGGTTGGCACGCTGCCACCTCTACCTCGGCGACCCGCAGGCGGCCATCTCGGTCCTCAACCCCATTGTCGGTGCTGGTCAGGGGTCCAGCGCTTCGACCGACGAGGCTAGCTTGAAGACGGCGCGGCAGCTCGTGGCGCAGGCGCAAAAGGTCAGCGACCACCTGGCCTCTTTTGAGACGTACAAGGCGTCGCAGGACTGGACGCTCGCCTCCATCGCCCTCGACCAGGCGCAAAGCGCGTGCTCGCTGGCCGACGGCGACGTGCCCATGTCGTGGCGCATCCTCCGCGCCACGGTGCAGCTGCACAAGGGCCAGCTGGACCAGTCCAACAGCACCATCTCGGACGCCCTCCGCGCCGACTCGAGCAACCCCGAGGCGCTTCTAGTGCGCGCCCGCATCTTTCTCGCAAAGGGCGACACAGCAAAGTCAATCGCCCACTGCCAGGCGGCGCTGCGCTCCGACCCAGAGCTGCGCGACTCGCGCGAGCTGCTGCGCAAGGTGCGGCGGCTCGAGGCCAAGAAGGACGAGGGCAACGCCGCGTTCAAGGCGGGGCGCAACGACGAGGCGGTGCGGCTCTACACCGAGGCCCTCGACATGACGCGCGACGACGAGGCCCGCGACGGCGAGGCGCGCGGCTTCCGCGCCACCCTCTACTCGAACCGCGGCACGGCCAACTCGAAGCTGGGCCACCACGACCAGACGATCCAGGACTGCACCGCCGCCCTCGAACTCGACAGCGGCTACATCAAGGCGCTCCGGACGCGCGCGCGCGCCTATCTCGCCAGCGAAAGGTACGAAGAGGCGGTGCGCGACTTTACAAAGGCCGTCGAGGAGAGCTCGGTCAGCGGCGGCGCAGAGGCCGAGAGCCTCAAACGCGAGCTGCGCGGTGCCGAGATCGACCTCAAGCGGAGCAAAAAGAAGGAGTGAGTGTCGATGCGTTTGCGAGCGCGGTCGTTGGGACCCGGTCGACATCGGCGCGAGGGGACGAATAGTGTAGCTTGCTCTCGACGGACTGATTCGCTGACTGACCATCCATCCGCCTTGCGCTCCTTGATCCTTCCACCTTCGCCATCGTCGCCCTCCTCTCTTCCCCTCTGCTCGCCGCAGCTATTACAAGATCCTCTCGGTCTCCAAAACGGCGAGCGAGTCCGAGATCAAAAAGGCCTACCGCAAGGAATCGCTCAAGCACCACCCGGACAAAGGCGGCGACGAGGAAAAGTTCAAGCTGTGCTCCGAGGCGTACAACATCCTCAGCGACCCGGCAAAGCGGCGGCGGTACGACGCGGGCGCCGACGACCCGGAGAGCGAGTTTGGCGGCGGCATGGGCGGCGGCGGCTTTGGAGGCGGCGGCGGAGTCGAAGTCAACCTGGCGGACCTGTTTGCCGGGGCCGGCGGCATGGGCGGGATGGGCGGCTTCCCGGGCGGCGGCATGGGCGGAGGAGGGTTCCATGCGGGCGGAATGGGCGGCTTCCCCGGTGCCGGCATGGGTGGCTTCCCTGGCGGCGCGGGAGCAGGCGGGTCAAGACGGGGCGGTAGGCCGCCACCCGGCTTCTCGTTTGGCTGAGTCGGCCAGCAGGGCCTGGTTGGCGGGCCGCGGCGCCCACACACACGTGCGCGCGCACGGGCGGGCCGAGGAGCCTATGGCGACAACCACGGGGACCGGCAGTCTCTGGTCATGCGAGAGCGGCCTCATGTCCACTTCGGTCCCATCGGCGACAACGACGAGGGCGGTGGCGGTACCGACGATCCGACTCTCAAAAAATCGGGCAGCGGCACGCAATGCGCGCGTCCCGTTTCGTCCGATCCTGTCCCATCCGCACCCCGCTCCGATCCTCATGCAACCACACGACTCTCTACTAGACAAGATGCCTTGCCTGCCAGACGAGACGAGACGAGGCCAGCATCTCTTTTCTCGCGTCACACTTGACTCTGCTTGACGACGAACGACACGAAACGACGACGATACGAGATTGGCATTCGAAGCAGTGGAAATAGGGCCCGGAGGTGATCCTCCCGAGGCGATGCTGGCGGCCCATGCGCAGCTTGGCGAATCCGCCGCCGAGAAGCCGCCCATGTCGTGCTCGACGGCTGGTTGACGGTGATGGCCGCCCTGACAGGCTTGGGAGGCTGCCAAGGTGGTCCGGTCGCCCAACGTTGTCGGCATTCACGATGGCCCGGCGCGGTGCGAGTTCGGTACGATGTCAGCAGAGCCACCTTCCCTCGGCTGCACATCGTTGCCGGTAGACCAGCCAAAGCCTCAGCGCCAGGAGACGTGGACCCCACCTCGACCCCCTTCCTCTCCTTGCCTCCAGCCGTTTCCGGTTCTCAGAGCCAAACATTGGTGTGCGCCTTTACTTGGCTAGCTGCCACCTAGATGCCGCGTGTTGGTCGGCGATGAGTCGTGAGGTGAACGGTGCCTTTGTGCCGCCTCAACGATCTCGGATACTGGGGGAAACGAGGCAGCGGGGCCCAAGCGGAGGGTCGCGCACTGGCACACCTGTCCGGCAAAGAAGGGCTTGGCTGGCCCCGCCAAGATGCCGCCATGGTGTCCGTAGCAACAGGGCCGCCAAGTTGCCTGCCAAGCTAGTCTTGGCCGATAGAGCCGATAACCGTGTTCTTTATCCTTTGACTTGGCTGTGCTTGACGACGACGACGACGACGACGACGACGACACGGCGACGACGAAAGCGACATGACGTGAAGTCGACATTGATGAGCCAGTCCAGCCGGGCTCTTCTTTTGCTCCATTCTTGTCCGATGCCCCGTTGGTTGGCCGGCCTGGTCCGAGATGACCTCGTTTCGACGCCTGTCGAACTGGTCGAGGCCGGTGCGAATGCACAGCGACGACCTCTGTCTGGCCCAGCAGGTCCGTCATTCGCGCGCAGCCTCCCGTCCCTCGATCGTTCCGACACCTTCCCCTCCTCCCCCCTGCCTCTTTCTCTCTTGCTGCTCCCGTACCATCCACCCATCATCCAATTCCCCCATTTCCTGATAGCCCTCGCTCGTCGTCCGCATCATCCCGCCCTGCTCGTCCTTCTGATCTTCCACCCTGGCCCCGTCGTGCTCACCACCTCGACGAGCGGGCATCCAAGTTCCCCCCAGCATCTGCGCCTCGAATGCCCGACGAGACGCCGCATCCTCGAAGTGCGTGCGGCGGAACGCGCTTAGTTCTTCCGTCATTTCGCTCGGCACGCCGTAGCCGTGCCTCTTTACCGCATCTTCAGCTGCAGCAGCAGCGGCGGTGACAGACGTTCCTGCCGCATCAACTTGTTCGCGCGCTGGCACTGTCGATTCAGCGGGTGGTATCGAAGCAGTATCGGCGGTCCTCGTTGTCGATGACTCTGTCGTCGCGTCTGGCGCCGGTGCCGATGCCGATGCCGTGCTCGCAGTCGCAGTCGCAGTGGATGGCGCCTCGACCGTGGCGGGTAGGACGAGAGCGATGAATTTGACAATCTCTTCGACGTAGCTGCGCGGCAGATCGTGCCGCTCGACGAAGCGTTGAGCCACGGCACGGCGGTCGTCTGGGCAGGCGGCAGAGGGACGGACAAAGGAAACAAGGGTTCGTCGGCATATGTTCCCGGCCCCGCGACGGTGCGGTGCCAACTGCAAAGCGACCTGTTTTGGTCCCTCGTCACGAACGGCCATCGATGTGGTGCGACGCGAGGCGATCTGCCAAACTCACCGCCAATGTTGATCGGAAGCGGCAAGGGCTCGCTATCGTCCGACACGTCGATCTGCAGCACCGCATCGTACCACCGAGACTCGAAAAGCTCCTTTCCGGGCGGTGGCTGCGCTTGGGTCTGCGTCTCCGCGCAGCCCACGAATTCCTGCTGTTCTGCCGATCTGAGCGGGATAGGCGGTGGCGATGGGGCCAAAACGCGGCGTTCAAAATGGGCCACCTTTCGATCCGAGAGGATGATGACTGCGATCGACTCACTTCGTCCGCTCTTGCAACTGCTTGACCACGCCGTCGACGAGCGCATCGTGCTCCTCTTGCTCTGGCACGCTCACTGCGCCGCCCGGCTCGCCTGCCTTTGCCGATCCCGCCGTTCCGTGCGATCGAGCCGTATAGACGCGCACCGTACCATCGCTGAGCCCGGCGACGATGTCGCCCGAAGTCGGCAAGACCGCGACCGACCAGACTGAAATGGCGGGTTGCGGTATCGTCGCAGTCAGCTGTTCGGCTGGCTCGATCGGCAAAGGTAAGAGGCGGATGTCGATAAGGGAGAGGGTCAGTGCTCACGTTGCGGGCACTCTTGTCACCGCGTCCGACGGCGTGACGCTGCAATGCACTTACTGGACCAGTCCCACACGCGAACGGTGCCATCCTCGCCTGAAGACACGAGGTGCGTGGAATTGGCGGGCGGCGACGACAATGGCGATGACGATGACGATGGCGATGGCGATGGCGACAACAGAGACGGGACGACTGCGAGGTCGTACACGAGGCTGGTGTGCCCGACGAGCTTGCGCAGCGCCTCGCCGCCGTTGCCGCTCGTCGGGCTGCGCCGGGAATCGAGCGACCACACGCGCACCGTCCCGTCGTTGGACGCCGTCGCAAAGAGGCGCTCGCCCGGAAAGAAGTCGGTCGGTGGCGCTTGCTGCCCCCCGTCCGACTGTTGCTCCTGCACACGCTCCGTCTTTCGCTGAGTACCATCGGCAACCTGGGACGCAGCGGGCAGCAGGACAATGGACCGGACCACGTCGGTGTGCCCGGCATAGACGGCGTGGAGGCGATCGCCCACAAAGAGCCGCACAAAGAGATCGGCGGATGCGGTGAGGTACAGCCCGCCCTGCACGTAATCGACGTCGTTCCGGCTCGCTGCCTCTGTCGGCTCGACGGGCGACGGCGACTGGACGATGGCGACGCCCCAGACGGCCTGCTCGTGGGAGCGGAGCACTTGGACACAGTGCCATTCTGCGGGCGAATCGCTGCGCGGCGGCGGAGAGTAGGACCACACCCTGGCGCTCTTGTCCCATGATCCCGAGATGAAGCAGGGTGGCACCGCTGCAGCCGAGGGGCTCGACTCGGCCGCGCGGTTGCGATCATTCGGCGTTGGCGGAGGTGCGACGGCGAGGACCGAGATGTTGTCCCAGTGTTCCGAGAGGACCTGTACGGGCTTGCCGGAGCGCAGCGGATCAAAGCAGCGGATCTGGGAGTCGAGCGAGCCGAGCAGCACCTGGCCTGGCAAGGTCCCGGCGGATGGGCGGCGATGCGGGGGAAGAATGAGGACCACGTCGGTGAGCGTTTGGAGCTGGGCAGCGTTTGGCCCGGACGCCGAAGCGACGCACCTCGAGGAAGGGCAGCGCTGGGCTGGATGTAGGCTACGGCATTGGCGTATCTGTGTCCGCGATATGTGGGGCCCTGTAGGAAGGCATCGGCAGCCGGAGAGGCCAGGGGGCGAGACCAACAGGCGGCCGTCTCGTCTCGAGAAGCCGAGAGAATGAGCTCGGACTCGGACAGGCTATCGTAGGCGGCTGTCACTGCCTTTACCTGCGTTGAGGGGTGCAGGGGGAGATGTGGAAGATGGAAGGTGCCTCTTTCAGTCCTGATGCGCCAGGAGACATCGACGAGAAGATGGCGCACGAATGCTCACATCCTGAGTGTGGCCGCGAAGAATGTGGCTCAGGCGGTAGTTGTGCTCTGCAGCGTCGTCAATTGCGCTAGATTGTGACATCCCCGTGGCTGTTGGGTCCAGAGTGGCCGCTGTGGTTGGCGGGATGGCGCGTCGACAGTTGAGCAGCTCGAGGTGGAAGGTGGACGGGTGGCAAGCGGCTGGCAACCCGAGGGGCCAGGCCAGCCAGGGTGCCACCCAGCCCGGCCTCGGCTCCCGGGCCAACATCGCCCGCGCCGACGGGCCAAGGTGGAGGGGGAGGGGTCCAAGGGCCCGATTGGACAATGTTGCCCGATCCGTCCCTCTACCCACCTATGGCATCCCCGCGGCGGTCGCATCAGCGCGCGTCCGCCTCTGCCCGTCGCGTAGATTTTTTCACGGCGCGCTCACAGTCAGCCGCACCTTTCTGTGTTCGACGCTGCCTGGCCACACAGCCTCTGCCCGCCCATCCGTCCGTCCGTCCGCCGCGCGTTGGAAGCTGGCCTGGGCCTGGCCTGGCCTGAGCCCGCCTGGAAAACCAACACGCGCGACCTGCCCGCCCCCCTCGACTGACCGCTCGACCGCCCGCCCGCCAGACGATCGACCGACCTCAGTCGGGGCTCCCTCTCTCCCTCCGTGCACTTCCTCTCACCACTCTACCACCACCACCACTGTCGCTGCATACCACCACTCGCCGCCCACTTTCAACCTCACCCGACCCCTCCTTACCCTCTTCGGCCCCACTTTTCACGCACACAAAACCCAAGATGTTGGAAGCAAGACTCCGGGAAGCCGTCCTGGTGAGCACCCGCTGCCGCCGCCGCCGCCGCCGTCGTCGTCGTCGTCGTCGTTGCCGTGGCTCTTGCGCTCCACCAGTGGCTGACATCGATGCCCGCCCCTCCCTTTCGTCGCCATCCGCAGCTCAAAAAGGTCCTCGATGGTGCGTGCTCCCCGCGCAACCCCGGCCTGCTCGCTCGACGACTGTCCTCAAAGCCACGACCGTTGACACGCCCCTCTTTCGCCCCCTTTTCGCTCCCCAACAGCCGTCCGCGAGCTCATTACCGATGCAAACTTCGAGTGCAGCGAAGATGGCATCGTGAGTAGAGTCCAGTCCACTCCCTCGATTTTTGCCCGCGGCCATCGCGAGGCAGGCCGCTGGCCGCAGAGGACACCAAGTCCAACCACAGAGCGGCGCCTTGACTAACACAATCCCACTCCCGCATCGACCCGCGCCCGCCCTACAGCGCCTGCAAGCCATGGACAACTCGCACGTCGCCCTCTCGGCCATCGAGCTCCGCACCGACGCCTTTGAAGACTTCCGATGCGACCGACCCATGAGCATCGGCGTCTCTCTTGCCAGCCTGGGCAAGATCCTCAAGGGCGCCAACAATGAAGACATTCTCTCGCTCAAAAAGAGCGACGATGGCGACACCCTCCAGATGACCTTCGAGAGCCCCAGTGAGTAACGGCAGCTCTCCCACCCTCCCAGCGGAGGCACGACGGCGTTGAGGGCTCTCGGCTGACCTTGACTGCCCCGTCAACGATGTGCCCGCCGCCATCCTTCTGCCCTCCTCGCTCCGCCGCTCCTGGTTCCCGTTCCCTCCCTTGCTCTGCCCCTCGCAGAGAGCGACCGCGTGGGCGAGTTCGAGATGAAGCTGATGGACATCGACAGCGAGCATCTCGGCATCCCCGACACCCAGTACGACGCCGTCGTCAAGATGTCGTCGAGCGAGTTTAGCCGCATCTGCCGCGACCTCTCCAACATTGGCGAGTCGGTCAAGATCGAGGTGTCCAAGGAGGGCGTCTCGTTTTCCGCCGAGGGCGAGATTGGGCAGGCGCGCATGACGCTCAAGCAGGGCTCGGGCACCGCCGTCAGCGCCGACCTCGACGACGACGACGACGAAGAGGACCAGAAGCCCGCCAAGAAGAAGAGGAAGGCCGACGGCAGCAGCTCGAGCGCCGGCGGCGTCGTCCCCGTTCGCATCGAGATGCAGCAGAGCGTCAACCTCACCTTTTCGCTCAAGTACCTTTCCAACTTTGCAAAGGCCGCACCCCTCGCCGACGAAGTGCAGCTCCACATGAGCAACGAGGTGCCCCTGCTGGTGAGTGGCGGCCCAGACAGCCAGGCCGAAGTCGTTGCGACAGTTTTGCTGACCCACGCGCCCGTCCCCGGTTACCATCGCCAATGCCATTTCCGCAGTGCGAGTTCGGCTTCGAAAACGGCTACGTGCGCTTCTACCTCGCGCCAAAGCTGTCCGAGGACGACGACTGAGCAGCGGCGGCGGCAGGCAGGCCCTTCGCTCATCCACCCCTTCCTCCTCTGCCCATCGCGCCGATACCCTGCCCGATGACCGACGACGGGCGCGGATCCCCACCCTTCCCTCTGCACGCTCCGCTCCCTTCGTCACACATACGCTCGTTGCATCCTCACCGTCATCGAACCCGGCGATTCGCCAGCCTTTTCCTTTCTCCCCATATCCGCTTGCTCGTGACTCTTTTGCGTGGCCCGGCATCGCCCGTTCTGATGTATCATTGAAATCCACATTCGCAAACGCACGCTCGCGCGCACGTCGGCCCCTCCGTATGTGCCCCTCGTCGTCCTGTCCTCGCTCTCGGCTTCGATGCCCATGATCCGTTCGCCACTCCGCCGAGAGTAGGTGGCGCTTTGTGTGCGGCTCGTTATTTCGGCTGTCTTGGCAAACGAGGCGGGGCCAGTCACAGGCGAGGTAAAGTCCGTTGCAGGGGCCTACAGGCGATGAGTAATGCAGCAAGAACGGCACACGTCGGCAAGCCGAGAGGTATTTGGTCGCAAGAACGGCGTGAAACCCGCGCTGACCGCCATCAGAGCCATCTGCCTCGTCACAGCGTCTCACTTGGTGGGTTCACGATCAACAACGCTGATAGCAAACAACCTAGGCTGCGGCGGCGGCGAGTGAGCTTCGGCTGTGCATCGTTGCGCCGACGTCCCCGCGCCATCGTCGTTGGCGGGCACTTCCATCATCTTTGGTTCCGAGCCTTCCGTCGCGGCTACCGTGCTGATCTGTGACCGTCGCGACGGGGATCGGTTGTTGCGCGCCGGAAAGAGTTCTTCCAGCTTATCCGCCACCAGCAGGCCGCCCATTGCGAATGCTAACGGGCGAACGAGTGATCGAGGGAAGAAAAGGGAGATCGATCGGTAAGAGGGGGAGCGCGCAAGGGTTTGAGGTTGGTTTCGTTTGAGTTGCCGCTGCTCGACGAGCCGGCCGGCGATGCCAAGAAGAGAAGGATCGATGGATGACTTACTTGCCAGTCCGGCTGCAAAGACTAACTTGGTCCTCGGCGAGAGGTCTGCGAGCTCGCAAGTACAGAGGCGTTCAGATCGAGATCAGCATGCCAATCGTATCATCCTGATGGCCTTGCCGGCCCGTCCTCTCGCTCTTCAAGCCCGACTCACCTTTCCAGCTACTCCATACGCTCTTGCTATTGATCCTCTTGGACCTCTCGCTCCCGCCCGCCGGTTCGGGAGCACGATACGCGGCTGCAGGACTCGGCCTCTTCTTGTCCATCCCCTTCGTCACCTCTGCTGTGCGCCGAATCGGGACCGAACCTTCGTTGGGCCGACGAGGTGCCGGTTTGGAGGCAATGTTTGTCGACGAAGCCCCAGCTCGATTCGAGACGGATCGCCTCGCCGTTGTCATCGGCAGGGCACGAAGCACGGGCGATGTAGCCATCATGGTGGGCTGTCTTTGTCGATCGAAGTGAGGTGGCGTGAGGAGATGGGTGGAATGCACTTTTGGATCAGGGCGCAGAGAAGTTTGTCGTATGGGTGCGCAGGGATCGCCAGCAAAGTCCGAGGAACCGGAAATGTGGAGTCTCGGGATTCGGCCTTTGCTCGCTGAGCCAGACGGGCGAGAAAACTGTTCCGGCCTCAATACCAAGGGCCTCATGTGAAGGCAGGGTTGGCATCTGTTGGGGCATGGTTGCATGGAAGTGTGGTTATATCAGGGCAAGCAGACCACCCTTCCATCTGCGGCCATAGGACCCTGAAAGCACTGCATCCCGTCCGATCTGCAAACTTAAGCAGGGTACCGCCTAGCTAGTACTGCGGTGGGGGACCACGTGGGAATCCTAGGTGCTGCAGTCATAGCTAGCGTCAAAGGCACCTACGATTTGGGCCGTAGGTGGCCTGCGGCCCTGAGCTTGGGATTTGGGAGTGTCCTTCGGCCTTTTGGGGCCGCAAGGGTCCTTCGGCCGGGAATCGGAGGATTCTTGCAACTTTTTTGGGCCGCAGGGGGCCTGCGCATGCGAAACGGCGGGGTCCCACGCTGTTTTGGGCCGCAGCACTGGTACGGCCAAAAGTACGCTTATGTCAGCTCAGGAGGCCAGGCGTGCGCGCGCTGGCCCCTTTGCCACCCGGCCGTTTGCCACCCGCCCCTTTGCAAAATTCATCCGCCCGCCCACCTGTCTCTCCTGCCCTCCTACCACCACCACCCGACGCCACCCGCCAGCCTGGGCCAGCCACCAGCCGTCAGTCCAGCGCAGCCTGCCGCCAGCTCAGTCCAGCCTCCTGGCCCAGCCGCCAGCGGGGCCCCGCC